GCTGGACTTGGCTGGGGCTGGGCAAATCCTGGGGCAAGTCCTGGGGAAGCAGGTGGGGGAGCGGGGAGGGAGAGGGATGGTGACACCATCCTTGCAGTGGGTGGCAGGGTGAGATCCCCATCTGGCAGCATCAGAGAGGGTGGGAGCACTGTTTTCCTCCTGCTGGGAGTGGCAGGAGCTGGTGGCATTTCCCTCTGGCCACGGGAGACAGGCACCGACTGTCCTCACTGTGTGTCCAAATCCATCTTCAGCTGCGCTCCCGGCTGAGCCTCCCTAAACGGGGAGAAATGAGTGTAAATCATGGCTGAGAAACATCTCCTGATATCCCAGTGGAGGGACTGAGGCTGTGCTAAATACAGCGAGAGGCTGTCAGCACTGGGAACAAACCGTCAGCTGCAAAATAAGTCACTTACACTATTGATTTTTTAAAATTTTTTTTTTCTTTTAAGGCCTTGCTCTCAGGGAAAGCTTTTCTCTTGGGGCAGGAAATTATTTGGAGGGGGAAGGGCTGGTTCAGTTTGTGGTATTTTTTGTTTGGTTTTTTTTTTTTTTTTTTTACATTTTTTTGGTGCTTAATTGTTTGGAAAGAGGGAACTGTTCCACAATGATGGACACCTGTGATATTGCTCCTCTCCATCAGGAACCTGGCGGTGGGTTCTGCAGAGGAAGGAGTTAATGGCCTGGAAACAGCCTTGAGTTCTCTGAAGAAATAATTCTTTTCAAGTCATTTTCTTCTGAATTTTATGCTTTGGAGACTTCCCTGTGCAGGGGCTGCTCTGGGCAGAGGCCTTTGAGTCCCAAAGCCCCCATGCGCTTGGGGGGTGCAGTTCCTGCTGTCTTTCCCACATTGTGCTGGGACTCCCAGGGCTCCCCAGGGTGGGGGGCCAAGGACACAGGGCTGTGACCATCCCAAAACAGGCAGGGGGACAAAAACACCACGTATCCCTGCCCATAAATGCTCCCACTGGAGCATTTATGGGCAGGGACCATAAATGCTCCAGGCTGGGACCTGCTCTCCCAGCCAGGTCGTGCCACTAGGAAGGGCTGTGCTGGCAGTGACACAAGGAGCCCGTGGTGGTGCTGATCTTGGGCAGGGTTCCCTCTACCCAAAACCCCTCTCCTGCTCGGTCTGTTACTTTTGATGCTGTTGTGGCTGTCGTGGTGTGGGTGGGTGGGTTGTGTTTGCTCAGCTCCCACTCTCTGCCTCCCTGGCTGCTCCCTTCCTGCACCGGGGGATCCCGACAGGCGCTGCCTCCGTGGCTGGCTGTGCCCGGGATGATTTGTGGAGGAGCAGGCTCTAATGTTGCCTGGCGGGAGCATTGTTTTCCTGCAGCGCACGCAGACCTTTGCAAATAATCTAATAATGCAGGAATGTCAAACTTCAGCTGTGGAAGGAAATCCTTTTATACAGGAATTGTCAAGTCTCTAAACAAGTATCAGAAATGAGCTCAGTATCAATGTGGAGGGTGTTTATTCTGCCCGTCAGAGAGATGAACAACCCAATTCACTCTCCCAGGCAGACGCAAATTCGAGCGTTGGCTCCTGGACCTCAGGAGAGCTCAGTGCTGAGCCTCGGGGTGCCCCTGCACAAGCCCTTAAAGAGGTGAATTTCAAAATAATGCATGAGGCAGACCCCAGTGCTTCAGCAGCTCTGGGATTTGGGGTTTGAGGTTTTTTCTTCCATTTGCTGGGCAGCTTTTGCTGTCAAAAGGGAGCATGAGGTGTTGGCATTGGAATGAGCACGAGCAGCACTCGGGAGCCAGCAGGAAGGACCAATGCTCTTGCTTTCATTCTGGGTGTCCTTGGGCAAATCCAGGTTAGAGCTGTGTCCCCAGGGAGGTTCTTTGTGCCCCTCAGCGTCTGGGTGTCCCTCTGAGGCTGATGCCCCATGAGGTGCTGCTGGTCTGGCTGACCCGCATCCCCTTCCAACCCCACCCAGCTCTTCTGAACTCCACTGCACCCTCCAGTTTTGGAGGTTGCCTTTTCCTGATGGACAGGTGTCCCAGGGAATTCACATGCAAACCTCAGGGGCGCACGAGCTGTGACCATGGTGGATGTGGTGCCTCTGGGATCTTTGTGGTTCCACTGCATGGAAGTGCCCGCTGCTTTCCTCCGTCTGGCGTGTGCCCCCCCGAGCAGAACTGAGCAGTGGGCAGGAACCTGGCACTGGCAGAGATAAGGAGTGTTTCATCCTCGAGAGCGAGTCCCTGTGAAAGAGAAGCCTTGTGAGGGAGGCGGTCAGAGCAATAACGGGTGAGCAGATAAGGGACCCGCTCCGCGGCGGGTGCGGGCTCGGCTCCGGGAGCCGCTGCCTCCGCTCCCGCTGGCGCTGCTCCCGCCTCTGTGTGCGAGTGACCTCCCTGCTATCCCTGTCAGACAACAGGGGGTTCACGGCGGCACCCACAGCAGCACCTGCCCGAGGCCTCGTCACCGATGGATTAAAATTGAGGAGGAGAACCAAACCTTCCCAGCGTGTTTAAGATGCGGGCGCTGGCACTTCCCTGCCCGCTGGGTCGTGCAGAGCCCCGGTACCCATTTTTCATCCACTGTGATGGCAGAAAATCTGCTGGAAATGGGTCTTAATTCAGGCTCTGCCTCTGGAGGTGTTCCTGGCTCCAGGAGGAATTTATGCTCTTTGCTTCCTCCTGGCATGATTTAAATATCTCGGTGCACAGGCAAGTTTCAGCCCTTGAGGTGCAGCTGCGTGGCCTCAGCCTCCAGTGGGGGATGTGCTGCCCTCGTGTTGGGTGCAGGAGCTGGGCTGGAGCTGGGAATCCCTGCCTGGAATGTGCAGTCACCACTGGGTGATATCTCCTGCTCCTGCTCGGGCTACACCTGTGGGTGGGTGCTTCACAAAGCGAGGTGCCAAGTCTGGGGGAGCACAGTTTGTAGCTGCCACCTCAGTGTGGGCTTGGTTTTATTCCCTTGCTGGCCAGTGGCAGAGGATGGACCCTGGGCCAGACAGCAGCCACGAGACTGGGCCAATCACCCAAAATGTGGAGAACACAAGTGCTTGGCCTTTGCTGCTTCTCCTGTTGCACTTGACCCTGTGCATGAACTCCATCTTTCAGTACATGAGCTCTCTCTTTCAGTGCAAGAACCCCCTATTTCAGGGCTTCACAAACCCATCCTTTGGTACATGAATCCCCCTGTTTCAGTGCGTGGGTTTTGCCTCCACACATGCCTCTGGGAGATCTGAGGCTTTTTCTTTGTCAGGATCCAGCCCAGAGCTGCTCCCTGACCCAGCTGTGTTTGCTCAGCAGCTCCAGGCAGCTTCACCTCAGGACACCTGAAGTCCTTAGCCACTGGTGCTGCTGCCATCCCAGAGTGAGACCCTGTGATCCCAACCAGCCATGGGAATGTCTAAATGCAGTTGGGCATGGCTGTGATGCCCATTTTTCTGTCACTGCTGCTCCCTCCTTCCCTCAGCTTTTAACTCCAGAGGGAGTAATGAACTTGGGCAGAGATCAATGCTCTGCTCTGAGCCAGGCTTTATTCTGACATGCAGCAAATGCTGCAGCAGGTACAACTTTTTTTTTTTTTTTTTTTTTTTTTTTTTTTAATTATTGATTAGTAAGGCAGGTACGAGGCAGCACAGCTCCTGGCCAGGGACCTGCCTTGCTGGAGGGGAATGGGAAGAATACCCCCACTCTTTTGGAGCCCTGCCAAAGGAAGGCTGAGGAAATACAGTCAGTATTTTCAAATCCAATTTAAAGAATCCCCTTGCAACCAACATCTGTCATCTCATGGCAGAAAACACCTAAAATAATCTGATTTTTTTCTGTTTATCTAGAGAGCAAATAATATCCTTTTGATTGCTCTGTTGCATGCAGATACTCTTGTGTGAGTGACGCCTGCTCTGTGCCTCCGCTGGTGCTGAGCCCAGTGTTCAGGACAGTGATATGGCACCACTGGGCCCCTTGGTGAATTTTAGGCTTTCCAGAAGAGGTGCAGGAATTGCACAGGTGCTGGTGCTGTGGTTGTGACCTGCTGTGAGGTGCAGCTCTGGAAGTGTTGGTGCTGTTGGTGGGTTTGGCCTCAGGGTTTATGCACCCAAAGGGCCATCGGCATCCTGGCGGTTCCATGAAACGCTGCTGGTGTCAGGAGCAGGGTGGCTGTTCCAGCTCTCTCTGGTGCCACCAGCCACGCTCCAGCTGGGCTCTGAGGGTGCAGGTGAGCTTGCAACCCACCCCAGCTGCAGGTTTTTCCTTTTGAGACAAATCTTGCACAGTCTGGAACAGCGGTCAGGATACACGTGGGGACGCGCGTCCTTGTTCTTCCTGTAACGTTTCAAACACCCCTGGAAGTGTCCCCAGCTGGGCCCTGGTGCAGCCGGAGCAGCGGGACCGCACCCGCCGGGCACTGCCCCTCCGGCCCTGCGTCGCAGACAAGGGGGCCGTGCTGAGATGAACTGGGTCGCACTGGGCCCTACCAGACCGAGCCGTGCCGTGCCGTGCCGTACCGGGCCGGTCGGGCGGAGCCGCGCTCTGCTCCGGGCGCTGTCCCGGGTGCTGAAGCCTCCCCGCCGAGACCGGCGGTGCCCGGGTCTCGCCCCGCGGGGACCGGGGTCCGGGTCCGCCGGGGATGCCAGGGAGAAACCTTTCCCTGTGCGGGACTGTGCGGGGCTCTGGCCGTGCGGTGGTCCCGGCAGTTCGGTGCGGAGGGTCCCAGCGAGGCACGGGAGTCCTGGCGGGACGGGGGGCGCTGGGGATGCCGAGGGGTCCCGAGTGGGCGCGGAGGGGTCCGGGTGGGGCGGTGCGAGGAATCCCGGCGGTGCGGGGCAGCACTGGGGGTCCCGGTGGGGCGGTGTCGGTGGGTCCCGGGGGTCCCGGTGGGCGCGGCGGGTCCGGCCCCGCCCCGCGCAGTTTGGGAATGAACCGTGGGAAAAAAACTTGGGGGGTGCGCGCGGGCCGGGATCCCTCCGCCGGGCGGGGGAGGCTCCGGGCGAGCCGCGGCACCGCCTCGGCGCGCGGCGCCCTCCGCGAGAGGGAAGAGCTCCGCAGCGCGGCGGCGCCGGGACCGCGGCGCAGCCCCGGGGACAGGGCTCGGCCCGGCGGCGCCGCCGCCCCCGGGACGGACGCGCCCGCGGCAAGATGGGCGCCCTGGCCCTGGCCCTGGGGATTTTCCACTACCTGGGGCTCTACCTGCAGCTCGGCGCCGCCTCCCGGCACCCCCCGTGGGACGCCCCGGCGGCGGGCAGCGGTGAGGCGGCGGCCGGGGCTCGGGAAGGGGGCGGCTGAGCGGCGGGAGCTCCCGGGGCTCGGTGTCCCGCGGGGCTGGCGGCGGGTCGGGGCGGCTCCTGCCCCGGGAGCGGGACTGGTGCCGGGGATCGGGGATCCCTGTCGGGCTCCGCCGCCGAGGGCAGCTCCGTGTCGCGGTCCGTCGCGCCGGCGGCTCGAGGAGCGGGGGGCAGCCGGGGCGAGCTGGGGTTGGGCTTTGCCGCTCCCGTCTCCGGAGCCGGGGGGGCGGCCTCTGCCTTTGCCGCTGGGCTGCCGAATCGGGGGCTCTGCACGGTGCGTCCCGGTGCCTGCAGCCACCCGCGCCCCGTGCCCGTGAACCTCCCGGTGCGCCTCCCGGTGCCCGCCGCCGTCCGCACCCCGTCTCCTTGTGTCTCACGGTGTCGCCGCCACCACCCGCACCCCGCGTCCGTGAACATCCCGGTGCCGCCGCCCGCCCCGCCGTGCGGTGCCCCACGCCCCGGCAGTGGGGCTCCCGCCGCCTCCCGCTCCTCCGCTCCCTCCGGTGCGCGGTGGTTCGGCGGGTCCGTGCTGCCGAGCACGGGGTCCATCCCGCTGGGGTCCATCGGGGCTGGGAAGGGGAACCTCTTCCTGCATCCTGCACCCTCCGGTGAGGAACCTGGCGCAGGGGCAGCTCCCTAGTGGGTGTCGAGAAGGTGACAGGGGACCAAGCCCCCTCGGAGGAGGCTGCTGGGACCCTGCTGGCTCTCTGGAGTGACACGGGCACGTTCAGTCTGAGCCCGAGCAGTGACCACGGGGACATCCTGGGTGCCCGGGTCCCAGCTCTTCCCTTTCCCGGCTCCGGGGCCTCCTGTGAGCGGAGGGAGCCACTCTGCCCCGAGGAGCCTCCAGGCACACGACACCTCGGGCCATGCCAGGATGGCAGGGGTGAGGTGTCCCGCAGTTTGGGGTGTCCCGCAGCAGTGCGTGCCCTTCCCTGCCTGCCCAGGGAAGGGATGATCAGCCTCTGCATTGGGGTTCACGGCAGGAGAGTTTCCAGAGCTGCCAGGCTGGCATGCCAGATGGAAAGGTGGGTGAAGAGCCTCCATTAGCCACCGCTGCTCCCACAAAAATTCAGCAATAGGCAAATAAATAGTGAAATGGTCGCTGTGAGGGAGCAGGGAGCCAAGGAGATGAAATATTCTGGGAGGGCGAGTGCACTTTGGAGCCACATTACAGCTTGCTACTCGAGCAGTTCTGCAGCAACTCACTTAATCACAACAGAAACCTTTATTAACGATACTGAAAAGCAGTGAATAAGTGGGTCATGTATAATAAGCCATTTGTGTTCAGTAGGTGAATACCAATTTGATAAAAGCTGTGTGTGCTGAAAACCTGTATAAATCGCTGTTTAGCAGATCGGAGACTGATCATTTCATTACTGGCTGGTGCAGCTTTCCCTCCACACCACGAGAGTCCAGCAGGTTGGAGACGTGCAGCGGGAGCGGGGCTGTGGCCGGCGGGATGGGCTCGGCCGTGGCCGGCGGGCACGGGCATGTCCTGCCAGGCTCTGCCCGCAGCCGGCAGCGCCCGGAGCTCGCCGCCGTCTCCATCTCTGCCCGGTGCTGGAGGCCTGCAGGAGCCTCCACGGCATCGCGAGGCTCTGCCACAGCCCCGGAGTGTGTTCACTCTTCCTTTTAACTTGTCCACACCGGATGCAGCCGGGGAATTGACCGGGAGCAGCTCAGCAGGCATGGTGAGCGGCCATGAGCATCCCCGGAGCGCGGGCGGCTCCCCCATCCTGCCACACCACAGCGGGCAGCGGGGTTCTGCTCGCAGGGCAGCCTCGGCTGTGGGGAGGGAAAAGTCACAGTCAAAGAAAGTCCTTTACCTGCCGCCACAGCAAAGGCTCTGCCTTTGGCCAGGATGGAGCCAGGATGGGCTCCAACTGCCCCGTGAGAGCATCTGAGCCGCAGGATCCTTCCCACCATCCCTTCCTTACCCACAGTGCTGCCTCTCCCCCTTCTCTCCTCTCCTCAGGCTGGCGCCTTCAATTATTCATGCCCCCCATTGCAGCCTGTGCACGCTGTGTTGCTGCCATCGGCTTTCTCATGTGCTGGCTGGGAAGCTCCAGCCGCTTTCCCAGCCCGCTGGCTCTGGAGCGGGGCAGGGGAGCCGTGCCGTGAGGAGGAGCAGCCCGGCTTCTTGCCGGCATCGTGTACGGGCGATCTCGCCTCGCCTCAGCAGAGCCGCGGCTGCAGGCTGGAGGGAGCCGTGCCCCGGCTCCCCAGGGCGCTGCCCTGCTCCGTTCCCGCACACCCCAGTGATTATTCTATCAATTACTTTCATAAACACTTTGCATTCTGCCGGATTTTTGCACACTTCCTGGTGGGAATTCTCCACGCGATGTGTTTTTCCTGCTGCTGTTCGTGCAGTCATTCAACACAATTACATCTGACACCTCTCCTCATCAAACGTCTGGGCTTTCTCTTCCCTTGAAGCGGCTGACAGACGACGGGCCAGACACTGGGAATTATTACGTTAGGACAGTGACAGCTAATTTTAATCATAACGTTCCTTGTGAGTGAGGCAGGAATCAACCAAGAGCCGGCACGGCTGCATGCGGTCTGGGAGCTGTGGGCAGCACGGCGGGGCTGGAGTGAGGACCTGGAGTGGGCCAGGGAGCTGGAGGCTCTGCTCTGCTGCCTCCTTCATCAGGGGCTGCTCCGGGGGCCAGATGGATGCCCAGGTGGGCACCTGCTGAGCCCTCTCCCCTTCACAACTCCGCTGGGATTTTGGTTCATGGTGTGAGTGGGACTTGTGCACCTCAGGACAGACAGCCCTTCCTGGCCTTGTCCTCAACAGCTCTCTCTGAGCTCCTCTGTTCTGTGGCTGTTTCCCCTTCTGCAGGGCCCTTTCCTGCCTGGCTGTCCCCTCCCTGCGGCTCCATCTGCGCTGGGTGCCCGACTGAGCACCAGGGATGTCGGCTGGGCTCGGCTGTGCCGGTGCATTCATGACTTGTGCTGTGTGCTCCGTGTGAAGCTGGATTGGGATGAGTCCAGCAGTGATGGGGTGGGCAGAGCCGGGCAGGAGGATGCTGTGTCCATGAGCACCAGGCACTGCCAGCTCTGGGGATGGTACCAGCACCTGTGCGTGGTGTGGGCAGCTCGCGGCAGTGGCTGACTGCTGGTAGCTCGTGTTTTGGGTGTTGGGTGTGAGACCGGGGGGGCTGATCCTGTCTGCCCCATCCCATTCCTTCTGACTGATTCCAGCTGAGAATCCTCCCCTGGCTGCTGGGAACCATCCTCTGGCTGCTGGGCACAATCCCCTGGCAGAGAGCAGCACCAGAGTGAGGAGTGGTTGCAGGCTGGCTGCACGCACTGCTGGAGCCCCACGGGGAGCTGTCAAAAAAAGGCCATTTTAGGGCTTTGCTACTTAGACTATCAAAGAGCAGCTCTTCCTTGAGCCCCTTGGGAGGGAATTTTCTGAGAACTGTGAGTCCCCAGGAACCAGATGGGAGCAGCAAGTCCCCTTGCATGGGCAAAGCTGTGTGTAGCCGGGGCCAGGCTGGAGACACTCACCATTGGCCTCGCTCTTGCTGAGAGGATTAAACATTAGGGGAGTGGGAAGCGCTGAGGGCAGGAGCTGGGGCAGCGAAGGGGCACTGTTGGAAATATCTGCAGTTTTCAAGGTTCATTCCAGCTCTCTGGTGAGGTGAGCGCTGGTCTGATCACACTCACCGAGTTAGGTGGCAGTTTTTTTTGTTTTTAATTCACATGCTGCAAATCGGAGCTCCTTCTGCTGCTCATATGACAGTAAAGAGGGGCAGAGCAATGGCGCTGCCATCCCCAGCGTGTGGTGGGAGCCTCCCGGCCCCAGCCACGGCCCCGACGCTCCAGCCTGACGCGTCTGGTGGCAAGGGAGATGTCAGGATGGCTGGGTGGCTGGAGGAGAGCAGCGCCCGCCGCCAAAGCGCTCTGCCCGCTCAGCTGCCGGGGCCGGAGCCAGCTGCCCTCTCGCAGCAGCGACGCGGCCGTCACGCCGTGTTTGTGCAGCGCTTCGCACCGCGATGTGTTTGCAGCGCCCCGGGGTCAGCATCCCTGCTCGCAGGCTTGTCAGGAGGAGAAGCATCCCCGGCTGTTCGCGGCGCTGGGAAGGGGAGGGGAGCGAGGCTGCAGCCCGACCTGTGCAGCAGCCTCGGCAGAGGCGGTGTCCCCGCGGTGGGGACAGCGAGGGTCACACAGGCACTGGGGCAGTGCCCAGCTCTCTCCCGCGTCCATCCGGAGGGTGCCTCCGATCCCCCGGGATGGCTCTTTCCCACGCAGGCTGTGCCAAGGGCTGGGGGGTCCTGTGGCAGCCAGGAGGGTCCATCTGTGTCTGGGTCCGTGTGCCGGGATGTGTCCCGGGTGCCCCTGAAGCCAGGGCTGTCATTGTCCATCAGCCACAGGAGCCGCGGGTTCCTGGGAAGGGGAGGGTGCTGGGGAGGTCATGGAGGTCTGGGGAGGGGACTGTGGGTGCCTGGGGACAGTGCCAGTGGTGGTGGATTCTGTTGGACTCATTTGCTTTTCCTGCAGTAGTGCAGCACAAACCCAGCCGGTCAGAGCCGGCCCCACACCGGGGCGCAGGGCAGGCTCTGGATGGACATTCCAGCGGCCAGGAGCAGGAGCAGAGGGAGGTCTCTGCTCCCCCAGCCCCTGTCCCTGCCCAGCATGGGACGGAGCCAGCCCCAGCCCTTCTGCCTGCTTGGCACTTGTCACCCCTCCAGCCCGGCTGCAGCTCCAGCGAGGGGCTCCAGCCCTGCTGGGCAGAGAAAGAGGCTTCTGACTCCTGGTTTAGGGAAAAAAATCCCACCCGGAGCAGGAACCCGCGCTGACTGGGTGATTAACAGGAGTTTGCAAGTGTCCAGTGCATATTTCATTGTCCTCCAGTACATCTTTGCACAGCAATTACCCTGATTTGGCGCCAGTGATGCTGCTCTGGTGTCATCCTTGGTGCTTTGTGGGGGCTGTGGTGGGGGGCCGTGGAAGCTGGCACAGCTGAGGAATGGCAGGCAGCAGGCAGAGTCCTGCAGGGGCTTTCTGTGCTGCGTGGGGCCTGTGGACGAGGCAGGGGGACGGAGCAGGGGTCTGAGGTAATTTCCAGGTGCTCGGGGCAGTTCACGACCTGCTCTTGCCTCGTCCCTGCTGCTGGAGCCCCCTCCCTGTGCAGAGCCTGGCCAAGGTGAGGGCTGGTGCCCACAGAGGTCTGTCTCTGGTTTATGAGAGCACCAAGCTGTCCCAGCAGGTATTTTCAATTCTGTTTATCTGTGTTTCCCCATTGAGTTCATTTTATTTCCCCTGATTTTTATTTCCTGGAAGATTTATTGATTCTGGTGTTCTCAGTTTATGACAGGTAGCAGGCCATAAAGCACACGGAGCAGCGGCCCCTGACGGGCCCCTCCGTCCCTCCCGCTGTGGGGATGAGGCTCCAGTGTCAGTGGGGGGAGAGGGACGGGGCTGGGGTGGGCAGGCACCGGGACAGCAGGGGACAGGGCAGGGGCCAGAGTTGGTGACTTGTCCAGTGTTCACAGGAGCAGTGTCCAGGCAGCCTGGCCAACCCAGTGCAGGGTCCATGGCCAGCCTGGGGGCTCCTGGGGAGACCCTGATCCCCACTGGTGTCCCTGTGAGGGGCAGGGCTTGGGGGGGGCACTGAGTCACCTCTGTCCAGGCGGGGCCGGTGACCACGGCATCCATCAGGGAGGGCACACGGTGCTGCTGGGGGACATACCTGAAAGATGTGTCCCCAGCAAAGGTGATGACCCTGGGCATCCATCTGCAGGATCGATGCTCCTCTGGATGTGCTTGGAGGTGGCTGAGCTCTGGGGTTAATTAGTACATACGCTTCCCAATTAAAATCGGAAAGAAAGAAGGCGCTTGATTCAATCCAGCCTTTTCTCAGCTTATCGGCCAAATTCCCGTCTGTGGGAGCAGATTTTAATTGTGTTCACAGCAATTTGGACCTGGCTGGAGCCCTGAGGGCATGACCCCACCCCTGCACTGCTGGAGCTGTGGTGGCTGGGGGCTGGTGCAGGCTCTGCTGGACCCGCTGGCTTTGGCCATTGCTGCTGCCAGCAGGAATTCTGTGGGGCAAGAGCCTGATCCTGCCTGCAGCCAGGGAATGGTGGGAGAGTGCTGGTTAATGACTGGACACAACAGCCTCAGCTCCACTGTGGCTTGGAGCACAGAGGAACACTTTTCCTGTGCCAAGAAACCCCCCTGCTCGTCCCCCAGCCCTCGGTCACCAGAGCTGTTCTCCTGGAGCTCCCTCCACTCCCCAGCACAGAATCCACGTTCTGTGGTGCCGGGTTCTGGGTGAACAGGATGTGGGAACAGCACTGGGAACCCCACCAGGACACCCTGCCTTGGTAAACCCCAGCGTTGGGTATTTGCCTCTGTTCCCTGCTGAGATGGATTAAAGGAAAGTGATAAGTGGATGGGATTTCCATGTGTCCAGAGGGACAGGGAGATATTAGAAGTATTAACTTTTTGTCTGGGCTGCTAATAATTGGTTTTCCGAGGGATCAGGGCTGGAGAGAGTGCTGCTCCCGACAGGCTGTGTCCCGGAGGGCGCCGGTGGCTCCCATGGGAGCTGCCCCGTGGCTGTGAGCCGGCAGTGCCGGCAGCAGGAGGGGTGAGCGGAGACAGGAGGCACAGGGCACCCTCGGCAGCCTCGGCAGTGCCCGCGGTGTGCAGGGGGCTGGCAGCCCTGTCCCCATGCCGTGCCACCGAGAAGCCACTGCACCGATGGTGGCAGCAGCGTTTGCCGGTGCCCTGCACACTGGGGCGTCTGTACGGAGGAACAACAGTCTCTCCAGAGGAGATGAAAAGAATTCTAATTACATCTCTGAACAATATTTGTTTTGAGCGAGGAAAGCAAACCATATGGCGTGTGGGAGCCTGTTTGGGGCCGCATTAAGTGAGGATTTGTTTTTCAGTTATGTCCTGATCTGAGTGAGATGCGATCATGCTCTATTTATTTCCTTCACCTCAGAGGTGTGGTGCTCGTTCTGGGGCAGGGGTCTGAGGGATGCTGTGGGAGCAGGGGGGCACTGCTCCCTCCCTGTCCCCTTTTGGTCTTTGCAAAGTGCCTGGGGTGGGGGCCAGGCACCTCTGCTGTGGTGGGGAGGGGACACCGGGGTGGGAAAGAAGAAGCTGGGGATGACAGGGACCTGCCTGCTCTGCTGTAAGGGCTGGGTCTGTTTGGCCAGGGAAGGATCCAGGCACCCCTGGTGACTCTGCCCGTGTGGCCGGAGGCATTGTCCTTCACCGGGACAGTGCTCTGTCCCCGCAGGCCCCCGCAGCCCTCGCTCTGTCCCCAGCAGCTCTCTTCACCGAGACCCCCCACGACATGACGGCGCAGGCGGGTGAGGATGTGGAGATGGCGTGCTCCTTCCGCGGCAGCGGCTCCCCCTCCTACTCCCTGGAGATCCAGTGGTGGTACGTCCGCAACCACAAGGACTGGACGGACAAACAAACGTGGGCTTCCAGTCAGGTAATGCCCCTCATCCTCCTCCTCCATGGCAGCACAGAAAGGCAGAGCCCTTCAGGCAGAGCCCCCCGGGCAGAGCCCCCCGGGCAGAGCCCCCCAGGCAGAGCCCTTGCCCGCACTTGCCGTGGGGAAGGGCTTTTTGTGCAGCCACGGTTGGGTTTTGGTGGGACCCCAACCCGCAGCAGCACTCGGTGCTGACCAGACCGGCAGAGCAGGGTTTCACCCTCTGCTCTGACAGAGAGCGGCCGGGGGTCCTGTGGTGCATTACTGGGCTGCTCAATGTCCAGCTGCACTGAGGGTCCTCCGGGGCAGTGGGGCTGGGCTGTCCTGGCTGCCCTTCCCAGCCAAGGGGCTGCCTGGCCCATTGCCAGGACCCATCCTAGGCTGAGGCTTTGTTTTTGTGCTTGTGCCTTCACCTATCTCATCACCAGCTCATCCCTCCTGGCTCTGCACCCTCCATCCCTCTCTTGTCCCCTGTTTCTCTGTGTACTGGTCCGAAAAACAGCCTCTCTTTATTTCTCTCTCTGTTCACACAGAGATAAGGGCCAAAGAATGGGAAACAGCTTTGGGGATTTTAATGAGCCTTTATTGTAGTGTCTTTGGCAGGGCTGCTGCTGGTGTTGCCATAAATTGAGAAGCCTCAGGGCAGTGCTGCCAGGATGGGGGGGAGCGCTGCCAGGGGTTGAGGGTGGGCAGGGCCAAGGGTGTTGGAGGCACCGGGAATGCACAGCCAGTGGCTGCAGGAGGGGTGGTGGCACTGGGGCAGGAGCTGGCAGTGACAGGGACAGAGCTCCAGGAACAGGGGTCACTGCTGCAGCAGTGATGCCACAGCGATCAGGGCTCCATCCCCACTCCTGGATCGTGGGGAGCACCTGGAGCTGAGCTGCAGTGGGACCTGTGGGTGAGCACCCCATTCTCCCTGGTTCCTGTGCTGCTGCTGGTGCCTCCCATCCCGGGTACCCAGAGTGGCTTCACCCCCCCTGCGTGCCTGGGTCTGCTGGGCTGGGCAGTCTCTTCTCTCTTCCCCCTTCTCCCTCTTCCTTCCTCCTTGGGACAGCCATCCTGGGAGTGGGAAGGGGTCTGGTGGGCTCAGCTGACCATTTCTCTTCCCTCTCTGGTCTCCCCCTACCCTGCTTTTTCCACAGCTGAAATCATCACCACCAGAGGAGCCCGGGAAAGAGGCGACAAAAATCAGCGTGAGTTTGGGTGATGGTTCTTGTTGAGGGCTCAGCAGGACATTCTGGGAACACCAGGGTGGGAACAGCGGGGTGGGAGAACTGGGTCTGCCTTGGCTCAGTCCTGGGGGTGGCCGGGGTGAGGGGTGGCTGCCCTGCTCTCCCTGGCACCGAGAGGCAGAGCCTGGACCCTCAGTCCAGCATCTGAGTGGCACATTAATGCCAGGGATAAAATAATCCAATTGACTCAGCGGATTAGCATCCCAAAGCCATTTAGGCTCATGTGAGCAGAATGAGGAGCCACTAATCAGTTAAATAAAACACTCTTGGCCTTCTGCTGCCAGGTGTGTGCTCCCCTGGCTCTCCTGCCTTGGGGAGCTCTGCGTTTGGGGGTGCCACAGACACAGAGCAGTGCTGGAAAGCTTCCCACTGTCACCTGGCAGCTCTCCTGGCACTTCCATTTTCCTTCACTGACTGAGTAAGGCACCCGTGGCTTCTCAGGTTGGTGTCTCCCGCACCCAGGATCAGCCTCTCATCCCTGGGAAACCCTTCCCAAGGGAGAGCAACACCTTTCAGTGCCCTCCTGCAGGATCAGTGCATGGTTCTCTTGGTGGTAACGAGTCCCCTCCTGGGGTCATGTCCCCTTTGATGAATTGACACCCACAATCCATATCCAAACCTAAGCAGGTTCCTCCAGGATCTGTTCCTCCCCAGGTGCTGTGGCTCCCTGCCCCACAAGCAGCAAAGTTCCAGGGCTGCTGCTGGAGCAGCCAAAGCCTGGGCTCTGCCAGGCCCTGTCTGCTGAGCTCGGGGGCTGCTGCTCCCTGCATCCCACCCAGGCCCTGCTCCAGGGGCAGGAGGTGCATGGAGCCATCCTGGGGCCAGCACTCCCTCTCAGCTCAACCAGTGCATGTTTCAGCATAATTAGGCAGTTAATTACACGCTGGGATGGAATTGATGGGTGTGCGAGTGTAACCAGGATTTATTTTGAATCATTCGAGGTCTCTGCTGCCTCCTCCAGATCCAGCCAGCAGGGAGAGGCTGGAGCTTCAAACCTCTTTTGTTTGTTGTTATTTCAAATGTCCTTGATCATTAAGTGTTTATGGAGTGGAGGAGGTAAATGAGCATGGGTGGTTCTGATGGAATGTGAGGTACAGCCACAGCAGCAGGTGACTGGGAACAAACAGCAGGGTCAGACAGTGACAGGGAGGGAAATCCCGAGGGGGAGCCACAGTGCCAGGCACCCCTTGGCTGTGTTATCCACCAAACACACCTGGTGCTGGAAATGCTTTGCAGGGATGAAGAGCAGTGAAACATGATGGGTTTGGGTTTATTTTTTCCCCCTTTGAATCCAATGGCACAGCACAGGGCTGAGCTGGGGCTGGGCACAGCAAATCTGCCCATCCTGGCCTCCCATGGGCAGTGAGGGCCATCCCTGCCCTGCCTGTGCTGGCAGAGCCACAGGAGTTATGGACCATCATAAAATCTTCCCTCCTGAGGCTCAGTGACCTGCTGGGTAGTGGTTCCATGGCCACTGGTGGCACCAGCAAATTGGGGTTTTATTTTATTAGTTCTAAATTTCCCAGCCATTAATTTCAGTGACTTCTGGCTCTCTCAACTAAGGTTGTTTTTTTTTTTTAAGCTCCTTTCCCATGACAGTCTCAGCATCTGGGCACACTTGCTCCAGGGCCTGGCACCTCCTACCCCTGCCATGTTCCCCCAGACCCCCACTTCCAGCAATGCAGGACTGGGGCTCCTGGCTGCACGTGGCCACTGAGCAGCCCTGAGATGCTGTTTGGGTGGCCCTGGCTGTGACCTGTGGCACCAGCTCCCTCTCAGCAGCCCATGGTGTGCAGGGCAGCAGCCTGTGTGTGCTCGTGTGTGTTTGTATGTGCACGTGTGGGCACATACATGTTCCAGCACTGGGTGCCCCCACAGGGAGAGGCTGAGGGGGCATTGAGGTGTCTTGGTCCCCACACTGTCCTCCTGTGCTGTTTGGGGTGGGTTTTGCCCCTCTCCAGCCCCGTTTCCAAACACCATAAAATCCTCAGCTAACAAATGCAGCGGCGAGTAGAAAAACGGCCTTTGCCATCCAGTGTGATTATAGGGAACAGAGCCAGGGGCCTCGGGGTGGGTTATAAATCTGATTTATTGACCCAGCCCAGAGCAGCCGCGGCTCTGGCTAGTGAGTAAGTCTTAAATTTCATTGGGTGATAAATACTGAGAGCGAATCAATTTGGTAGAAAAGCTAATTAGCCAGCGTGGTTCCGCATCGATCTCCGAGCCCTGCGTGGCCGGGTGCGAGCCAGGGCTTCCATCACCGTGCGGGCCCAGGCTGGGGCCGGGTCCCCCCAACCTCACCAGCCTTTGCCGTGTCCTCGCCAGCTGGGCCGTGGCGTGGTGGCACACGGCCGGGGGTGGCACTGACCCGGGTGTCTGGGGGGCAGTGGGTGTCCTGGGGGCCCCTGACCGCCCGTCTGCCCAACGCAGGTGGTGAAGGTGGTCGGCAGCAACATCTCCCACAAGCTGCGGCTGTCGCGGGTGAAGCTGGAGGACGAGGGGACGTACGAGTGCCGGGTGATCGACTCCAGCGACGGCAAGGCACGGCACCACAAGGTGAAGGCGTACCTGCGGGTGGAGGCAGCGGGGGGCCCGGGGCACCCCCAGGACACCGAGCTGCGGGAGACCCCGCTGGCAGAGCTCGCCTCGCCGGGCTCAGCCCACGCACACCACCACCACCACCACCACAAAGCCGGGAGGGAGCTGAAGAAGCGCTCGGCAGACACCTCCTGCGTGCTGTAGGTGGGCGGTGTGGGGGGCCGCCGGAGCCCCCCTCCGCCCCGGACTCAGCGGAGCCATCAAGGGTCCCGCAGCCCCTGCCAGAGACTGGCCCCACCACCCCTCTTGTCCAGCACCCCTCGCCACCTCCCTGTCCCGCCGGGCGCCGCAGGTTTCTCCCCTCCTCGGGGCCCGGCGGTGCCAGGCTGGGGCGGGAGCCGGTCCTGTCGGTGCCACGGCTGCATCGCTGGGGCTGTGCCCGGGGCCAGGGCATGTGCCCACGCCTGGTGGTCCCCATCCCCGGCCGTGTGCGGGCGGTGCCGCGGGCTGTGCTGTGCCCCAGCTCTCTGCCCACGGGACCCTCCTGCCCTCCCCGTGCTTCGCAGACCCCGCCGCCTGTCCCTGTAGGTTGTCCCGTTTAGTTGCTCGGTTCCAACCCCACAGTGCGTATCTAAGTTCCAGCCTCCATCCTACAGCCCGTGTGTATCCCCCCGCCCTGCCCTGCCCTGCCTGCCCCGCAGCCCCCAGCACGTCAAGGCCTGAGCTCAGCAGAGGAAGGACGGCACGGCACATTCCTGGCATCCTCCCGGCACGCTGTGGCATCGCTCAGCCAGGCAGCTGCCCGTGCTCCGTGTAGCTTGGGAAGGTGTGCCATGGGCGCTGGCCCCTTGCACCCATCACTCCTCCTCCCCTCGCGTCCCACCGAGGATGGGGCGCTCATCCGCCAGCCTCGTCAGCGTGGCCCCATCCCGCTGCCCGTGGCTCTCGGCCCCCTCTCGGCCAAGCATCCCTCCCCACCAGGCCACAGCACCACGTTGCCCCGGGCAGGGTCCGGCCCACGGGCTCCGGTGTCGCAGTGCAAACAGCAGAGCCCGTCCCTGCTGCCCCACGGGTGACCACGGCCACTGGGGATGGAGCTGCAGGGAGGGACAGGGGGGTCCCGAGCCTCCCCACCCGGGCGCTGCTCCCCTGCTGCCCCCCAGCCTGCCACCATCAGACCTGCTGCAGCTAATAAAGCTCTTTAAAGGAAGCCTCTGCAGGTCTGTGCTCTCTGTCTGTGGCACGGCAAGGGGACAGGGCTTTGGCACTGCCTCGGGTAAAAACGGGCAGAGCTGGGGCTGCTGGTCTGGGGCCGCTGGGGATGGGCACGAGGGTGGGCATCAACATCCTCCCCTGCGCTGAGGGCTCAGAGCTTTAAAAAGCTGCAGCTGGGGAGCTCCTGCCCAGCCTGGGAGCTGCTGCCCTGAGGGGTGCAGGACACAGCGAGGTCCCAGGTGAGCTGGGGATGCTCCACTGTGGCCATGGAGTGCTGGGTCAGCTGCCAGGTGAAATCCTGGCACCCACCTGGGCACCCAGACCAGATTTCCAGCCTGGTGGAAGGTGGGGTCCCCAAAGTGTGCTGGGGCCTGGCTCTGCCTCTCCAGTGGGAGAGCAACTCCGAGCACTGGCAATGCCCAGCCTAGCCCGGCTGCCTGAATCCTGCAGCTCCTTTGAACCTTGTTACTTCCTGGCCCTCCATCATGCTCAGCCCTCGCTGTGCTGATGAGAAGGAGAAAGAGCTGGTGGCTCTTTCTGCCACCAGAAGTGTCAGCCTGTGCTGGGGGGCAGGAACAGGCAGAGGTGGCTGGTGTCTCTGGAGCCATGGTCACCTCTGCCACCTGGAGAACTGTGGGCTTGGGGAGCAAAGGGCACCGGAGAAAAACATTCAGGAGCTGCAGGGCAGCAGCTGTAAATCATTGCAGCAAGTTTTTCCCAATAGTGGTGGCTGTGCTGTAGCAATCCCTGCCAGAGCTGTGGGGCAGGGGCTATGCTCAAATTCTCTGTCAGGGAATGGGATTGCTGGGGGAAGAAGAGAGATTGGGATGTATTGGTCACCAGTGCAGCAAAACACAGGACACAGCAGAGGAAAAGGCAGATCCAGGGACATGCTAGGAAGGGCAGGAGGCTGCAAATGACCTCAAACAGGGAATAAACAAATTGCTGTGCAGCACAGTGACTTGTAAAACCTGGAGGTGATCTTTAACAATAACAGGTTTTATTAGAAGAGATTAATTTTGCTGAGTTTATAGGAAATCTTGGGAGCAGGAGTCGAGGAGTGGACCCTGCTGGATCTGCGTGCATGGCTCAGCAGTGCCTGCTGCCAGGGGCTGTGTGTGGGACTGTGCCCCCAGCAGTGTGGCAGTCCCCCAGGGTCCTGGCTGGGTTTGTGCATGGAGGAGGCAGCAGGACACAGCTTTCTTTGCTCTCTGATCCCAGAGAAGGTGGCTGGAGTGGGGGGACCTGGGGGTCCCCACCCCAGAGTGTTTGGGGCTGCTTGGTGATGGAGAGTTCTGGTGGGGAAAGCCTGGGGCTTGTGAAGGGGCTGAGCTTAATATGCAAGTCACTGCTGGGGAGGAACCAGCCTCATGAAAATGCCATTTCCACGCAGTCCCTCTCCCAGCCATTATCCTGCCTCAGACAAAAGCAATTTACTCAGCCTCCAATAAAGCAAGGGCGATAACGAAGCTGAGAGGAGCCGACTGACAGGCAGGACAGCCTCTCCTGCCACCAGCACCCACCTGCTGGCTGGGGCTGAGGCTGTGGGGAAAATCTCTGCACAGCACTGTGAATCACAGGCTCTGGGTGGGGGTGTTTCAGTGCAGCCAGCTGTGCCAGAGCCCTCCTGGGTGATGTGCTTGGTTCCTGGGCACTGGGCAGTGGTGGGACAATGCTGCCCTCAAATCCCATTCCTGTCCTGTAGGATGGCAAGCCTTGGCATGGGCAGGATGTGTCCTTGGAGTCCCCACCACAGCACAGCTGAGCAGAGTGAGACTGGATGCAGCATCTGCACCTAATGGATGAGTTTTGTCAAGTGCTACAACAACCCAGGAAACTGCACCAGCCCCAAGGGCGCTTGGAAACCAAAGACAGTATTTCAGCTCCCTGCCTGCCCTGTCAGAGCAGCTCTGAAGGCTCCTTTGTATAGAACCCAACCAGCGTTAAGCACTGAACAGATATTAAAAAGAGTAAAGCTGACCTGCAGCCCTGTCCTACCGGATAAAAAGCCACTGATATGTGTTTTCCCTGGAGAAGCAAACAGGAGGAAAGCCTGAATAAAACCAGGGACACAAGGGGAGGTAACTTCAGCTGAGGGATGTGGCAGCAGAGGCTGTGCCCTTGGGCCAACCAACAGAGACTTGTTTTGGATGTTCACCCAGGATCCCAACAGTGATGCACAAAGCCTGCTCCATGTAACAATCTATTTATTGCTTTGGTTTTTGTATTTCTGAGCTTGCTTCCAAATTTAGTCAAGATCTGCCCTTTGGCTTCACTTGCATAGATGTTGCCCTAGTGTCAGGAGGCAGCCTGCTGCCAGGAGCTGCTGGGGTGAAGCTGAGGGATCTGGGCAAAGCAGTGCCCATGGACAACCTCTGCAGCAAGGGCCTGGGGATGTGGGAGCTGGAGATCAGGGGAGAGGCCCCTCAGCAGGGGGAGTGAGCTGACCCCAAAGACGAGTCATCCTCTGCTCACTGTACCACGCTGCCCCTGCTCTGACAAACCATGGCACTGCTGGGGTGCCACGGTGCCCACTGCACTGCCTGACCACGACAGACACAGAGGCTGTGCTGGGGCACAGGCAGGTGCTTCATCCAATTCTCCTTGGGGTGGGGGTTAGAAATGGCCTGAGAACCGTGATCTGGGCATGGGAGAAGCTTTAAATCCCTCCCAGGTGTAAATCAGGGCTGGCTGGCTCTCTACAGAACCTCACAGAGAGTGAGATGGAGAACAGAGCACGTTCGGCCGCCTCCATCTGGACTCAGCGAACTGCAGCTGTGAGGAGCAGCCCTGATGCCTCTGAGAGGACACATTGTTCTTGATAGTAACATAGGTGAGGAATTTATTGGAAATGCACTTTAACTTCTGAGATTAACTGCTTTTAAAGAGAACAGGTTCATAGTGCACCCCAAACAAGATTCTCTTCCTGGGAAGGGTAAAGGCCAGAAAAAGCTTTTGCTTTGAGTTGTCAGTCACTGTCCAGCTGAGAATGGGAGGCACCATCACAGCTGTGAAGAAATCAGAGAGGTGTGGGGGGTGCTAAAGTGCTAAACCCCCACAAGGATCAAGGGTTAGGAAGTAATTTCTGGAAGATAACTCAGTCTCCACACTGAAGAATTTGGAATAGATGTGCCATTTTCTCTACATATGGTGCTGGCCAGGCACAAGTCAGGAGAAGTTAGGGTCACGTACCCACCTCATCCTCAAATACTGCTTCAAAAAATAAGCCCTCTGCCACAGGGATGGTGTCTCAGCCAGTGCCCCAGACCGGGCAGTCCTTCCTCTGCCCCTGAACCATTTGGGTTCTCAGTGATGGTGTTTTCCCAGGCGAGCTCTGTCCTGGTGGTTCCTCTTTCCCATCCCAGCTGCTGTGTAGGTCTGTCAGGAAGGAGATGCCTCCTGTGTGCTGGTGCTGGGAGCTGTGCCCTCCTGCTGCTGCAGCCTCTGGAGCAGGAGCAGCACGTTGTCCGTGAGCTCGTTCCGTGGCTGCCCCATCCCGCCGAGCCTCACCGGCCGCAGGCTGGCGTGGGGGGGCTCAAACCCCTCGGGGCAGCACACCTCACTCAGGAGCAGCCAGGTGCTGTCAGGGTCCACGTGCATCAAGTGCAGGAAAACACTATGGAAAACAGCAGGGAGAGAGGAAAGAAGAGTAAGGACAAAGCCTTGTGGTTGGCACCCAACAGGGTTATTAAGAGTTAAGGAAAGCTTTGATGCTGTTGGCAACCTCTGGCAGCTGCACAAATTTGGCTCTTTACAGAGGGCAATGCAGTGGCCCCTGTGCCCAAGAAAGCAGCCCTGTGTCTCACAGCTACGGGCATGTGGGAGAAAAATATTTATGATACCACACAGTCACTTACGGATATCAAACAAGCAGCTGGTGCAGGACTGACCCAGGCTTGGTGCTGGCACTGTGTGAGCTGCTGCTGGCACAAGCATAAACCTGCCTGTCCCACTGCTGGGGAGGTGACTGTGGGTGACTGCATGTGCTATGCACATCTGGGATCTTTTGGACAACAGCTCCTGCAGAGATCTTGGGAGAAGCTGTGTGTGTTGTTCACCACCCTCTCTGGTTTTCAGGAATGAGGGATTTAACCCATCTGGGCTTCTCTGCCTTTCCAGAGGTGGCAAACCCAAGAGTATTTGGGAACAGCTGCCCAGGCTGGGCCCCAAGGGAAGCTCAATGCTGTATTTGAGGGCTTTTTGCTCAAGAGAGATCTCCCACCATCCCAAGTCCTTATTAGCTGCCTCCAAATTTTTGTCATTCTGCACAGCACCTTTCACAAAGCAGGATTTTAAACCAAAACCAAACACAATCTTCATTAACAACACAATGAAGGAAAAGAGGAATCACAATTTCCTCTGCAGATTTACTGCTGTGTTGATGGTTTTCACTTTGCATTTCCATACCTCAGTAAGATGGGATTTGCCTTTCCAGCATGCCCTTCACACAGGGCTCCAGCTGTGAGCTGCTGGGACACAGCTGCTGCTGAAGAGCAGGAAGCTCAAGGAGTGAAAGAGCAAATGCTGATTTGTGTGACCTACACTTACCCACCCCCTCCTGCCAGTTCTCCCTGCAGCAACCTTTGGGCTTAGCTAGGTCTGTGTCAGGGTTTAATGCACAGAAGGTGTACTAGGTTTAACTGGTATTAAACTCTCTGGCTGTGCCATGAACAAAATTAGACTGGCATTTGCAAGGCCTCTTTCTGAATGGTGCTGAGTGCTCTGTGAACACCAAAGGCACTCAGTACACACCACACCTATGGTACAGTTTCCCAAGATCCCAGTAAAGCCCAGCCATGAGTCTTCAGGTCTCTAGTTTTCAGTGAAATCGTGGAGCTGTGAGGAGAACAGCTGCCAGGTCAGGTGACGGGAAGAGAAATCAAGTAGGTCTGTCTCTGCTCTCCCAAGAAGAACAGAACTGAACTCTCTCTCTAAAAGCAAAGATCACTTGCTACAAAAGCCA